TTTTTCAAACCGGATACTTTTAGTGTGCCATCTTTTGAGTTGAGAGAGATACCATCTTGAGTTGTTCTGATAATGTAACTCAACAGTATTCAACAAAGAAGGCTTTCTCCTTGGCTCATGTGTAGAGATCATAGTCTGAAGTGGAATTAATAGAATGTTGGCTTCAACATGAGATGTTATTTAGAACACAGTGGAGACATTGTGATGTAATTGTGTCTGAGGCAGAGAAATGTTAGTCTATGTTTTATGGAACAGCCACCTGAATGTACGCATTGTACCTGTAATTATAAAAAGCAAAACAGGCACTTGAGGCCTGTCTGGGTTCTGGCCAATTGGTACTTTCCCCCGCATCACCTTCCTTTCCACTCAGGCCTGACCTAGGATGACAAACCCTAGGTCCATACTTTACCAACTTGGCTCCAAGCCAGTCCTCCTTTCATCTCAGGACCCCAGCACCAGCATCCAGAAGGATCCAAGATCCTGGAGGTCAATTTAAACTTTAACTGACAGCACCCAGTACCACCTTCCTCCCAGCAGAAACTATTATCTCCACTCTGCTCATGCGACTGACCTCTGGGGCTTCCGTTTCTGCCAGGCTTCTGATTCAGAGCCATCTATTTCATTCTTCATTTATACTTTGCATACACGTTTTCAATTCTCTGAGTATTTTTATGTATGTACTCTAATGAGGGACCAACTCCCCATTTACTCTAGAGCAGGCTAGGTGAGTGATATTGTCCCGGTTTGTAAATGACAGCACTGTAGCTAGAGAGGGTAATGACCTGAAACGCAGAGGAGACTTCAAAGCTGGTACTTCAATCATGATCATTGCAATCTATTTTCACTGACTCTTCATTGTAATGCTTCCCTCATACAAAAAAAAAAAAACCATTTAAATAGGTGTAATCTAGTGACACAGGTACTTAGAGTAAGTTAAAAAGCATATATACGTATTTCCTCCCCACTCCTGTGGTTTGTTCGTGGGTAGGTACATAGCAGCTTTGTCTTAACAGTGTGACCCTTTTTGCCATGTCCACCATAATAGAGAAGAAATCTTACGTGAAGAATTCCCAGGCCAATGGTACGTTGAAAACTATCACCCTATAAAGGTGTCTAGGAGAAACCACTTTCTGCCAACATTCCATTATACATAATTCATAGACTCTCAGAGTTGGAAGAGATAATGTGAGTCATCTGGTTCACCATGTCTGTGATAGTTAAATCTCATCTGAATCCTTGAGGATTGTAGAGTAAGTTTGGTGAACAGTCCTTGTTAGATGTAACCTTTTGTGGCTTAAAAATTACTCCAAATTCTACCAAACTAAGTAAAATGTTGACTATTCAAGAGAAAACATTTCTTTCTTGGGTCATTTGGGTTTTTGGAATGTTCTATTTGAACCATTCCCCTTAGAATTTGTTAGTTCTTGAGAAAATTGCATATTTAGATAACCTGTTTATGCTATTGTTTAATGGAATACAGTTTTTTAAATGGTACTAAATGATAATAATTTTCTTTTCTTCCCCTATATTTCTCTGTCTTTATTTATAAGTTAGATACCAGTGTCCCCCAGAATTGTTAACCACGCATCTATATTTGGTTTGTATAACATAATACATGGTGTTCTTGTGAATGTCTTTCCCTCTTTTGTGCTTTTAGTCAGAGGAATTGAAAAGAGAGGAAGGCTTTGAGATTAAACATTTTAGTGACAGATAATGGAAGGCATATCATGAACCTGAAGTACTTGACAGTTCAGTAGGAAACAGTATTGGAACTAGTTGTTTTCTCTCTCTGCCTTTGAGTAGGATCACATGCCCACCCTGACGGACCCTCAAAGTATCTGTGCTAGAGGATTACCTGGCAACACACACTTAACAAACCTCTAGCATGAACCGGTGTTTCTTAGAATTAAAGAGTAAACTCGTAGTCAGCATGTAGGCTCTAACTTCTCTACTGAAATCATGGGTCACACATAATATTACTTTCGGCTAGGAGAGTGCTTGTGGTAAGTTTCGAAATTCATTAGGTTGATGTATCGTGGTTTGCAGTGTACCTACAAATATTACATTAGCAAATGGAACATCCATTATAAGCCCTTGGGGAGGCTGGCAACTTAACAAATTTGCAGTATAAGTCGAAATGAAATTTTTTTGTCCATGAAGACTTGCATAATATCTATAGATCCTATTTAATCTTTTTCCCACAGATCCAAATAACTCTGAGAGGCTGCATGAAGGTATGCAGATATCATTATAAATATTCCCACAAGTTTTTGATAGACAGTCTCAGACCAGGAGAAGAAGAGTAATAATATGACCTAATATTCTGCAATTTCCAAATTTAGTATATAAAATTTCAGTTGTTTTCATGTGTGTTAAATCCTGTGAGGTAACAACAATAGGTATTATTGTTCTTATTTTTAAAATTAAGGGAAGTACAATTTGGTCATAGATTCAAGTAGATCAGGGCTTATGTAGTACAACCCAGGTATTAGGATCTGAAGTTCACCTTGTTTTCCTCAGATACCTTCCCCTTGAGCCTGAAGATCATATATTTTCAGAGTCTTAAATCTTTTTAAGTGGCAGTTTGGGGGTGAGAGGGAGGATTAAGGCAGTAACTCTGGAACTGGTAAGGCTGATGGGAACAAGAGGGACAGCCTTTCCCATCATTTATTCATTTGTTCTCTTGGTGTGATACACCTTTTTGTGAGCTACTTTTTCTGTTCCTCTGGGGTTTTGTCTTTTCTTCAGAATTCTTCCCCATGTTTTCTTCCTGCCACTGTCTTCTACATTCCACTGTTCCTGGTACTGGGGACCATGCTGGGTACAGACAGTAAGTCCTAGAGCAAATGATTGTTCATTGTTCACCCTTCTCTTGAATAAGAAAGTCAAGGTTAAAATATACTGTCTCTATTGAGGTCAGTTGTAAGGGGAGAGTGACTTAACAGGCCCTCTGCTTCCGGATAGCTTTTTATTTCTCACTTTAAGCTAAATCACAAGCATTTTCCCCATGTCCTTGAATATCATTTCAAAATATTTTTCATGATTCTGTAGCATTTCATTGCATAAATTTAGCAAAATATATTTGTGTTCTTCTATTTTGGATATTTAAGGTTATTTTCTAGTTTTTGCTGTGAAGAACATCATAGAAAAAAATGACTCTTTGGAGAAAGGAAATGATCAGCTGCATGAAGAGATACAAATCTGGCTTAAATGATTTGCCTTGGATTGATTCATCCATACATTGTAAAGGTTGTTTTAATCAAGTATTTTTTGGAAATAAAATAGTAGTGATGTTAGTTTTATCTTCAGGTGGGGAAAATGAATAAAGAGTATCAATGAAAGGAAGAGATTTCACAACTGTGTCTTTAGTATTCTGAATTGTATTTAATGGTTTATGCTTTTATAAAAAGTTGGTGGAATGGCAATATTTTTAATGTAGCAAGTTGATACTTTAGGGCAGCAGTTCTCAACCTGTGGGTCGCAACCCCTTTGGGGATTGAACAACCCTTTCATAGGGGTTGCCTAAATATATCCTGCATATCAGATATTTACATTGCAATTCATAACAGTAACAAAAATTACAGTTATTAAGTAGCAGCAAAAATAATTTTATGGTTGGGGTCACCACAACATGAGGAACTGTATTAAAGGGTCACAGCATTAGAAAGGTTGAGAACCACTGCTTTAGGGTATACATTTGAAACATCTAAACCCGATTCTAAGTAAGCACCACTTTGTAAGAGTCATTACTTTGTTTTTGACTAGCTGTGTATTTTTCGTGGGGTATACATTTGAGCTGGACTATTTTTTCATGCATATCGAAAAAGGCTTACAATTATGAGCAAATTAGTAGAAATTGAAGAGCCAACTTTTGGATTTCTTAGAGTTTTGTTTGTTAGCTTCAGTTTCCTGTGAGTGAGTACAGATGGATTGGGAGGGAGAGGGGGAGGCATTAGAGACGTCTGCAGAGTTGTCAGTCCCTCTCCTGCCTTCCCACTGTGCCCCACTGCTCCGAGGTTCACATACATCAGGCAGTGCATGAGTAGACCAGGTTCCTCTTGATGTCCTCCCTCTTCTCTGGATATCTTTTTTTTTGTCCAATTTCTTCTTTTCTTGAGTGACCTGTACCTTTTTTCTACTCAAACCTTCTCACCATGGCACCCACCGAGGCCCATAGTTTCGGGAAGGTCTCATTCTCCCTGTGTCTTTGCCATCATTTATCAGCAGAAAGTCCCCTGAGTTTCTCAACTTGACATTCTCTTCTCCAGGTACATTTGCTTTTAAATGTATTCCTAAGTAAGTCACTGCCTTCATCTCACTTTGTTTCTGTTTGGCTAGCTAAGTGCGAGCTAATCACTGAATTGTTTGCTTTTTGATGGTGAGACTTTCAGGTAAAAATGGAATTGGAAGATAACAGAAGTTGTTTTAGAAAGTAAGGTGACCTTCCCATTAGAAAAGAGCTGGGTGTGGTGGCTCACACCTGTAATCCTAGCACTTCGGGAGGCCTGGTAGGAAGGATTCCTTGAGCCTAGGAGTTTGAGCCTGAGCAAGACCCTCATTTCTGCAAAAATAGAAAAATTATCCAGGCATTGTGGTTGCTTGAACTCAGGAGTCTGAGTTTGCTATGAGCTGAGCTGATGCCACCACACTCTAACCTGGGGCAACAGTGAGACCTTGTTTTAAAAATTAAAAAAAAAAAGAAAGAAAGAAAAGAAAAGAGCATTTCTTCTTTTCACAATTCAGGGTGGGAGAAAGCATGCAGGAATCTGACTTGAATAAACTCTTAGGATGAAGTCATACACAGTGAATCACCTGTCTCTGCATTCTTTCCAAAGTGATGGCTCTTAGTATTTGCACTTGTGATAACTTATGTTTCCTGTGTACAAGAGCCCAGGACAGCCAATTAAGGAAAAAGAGGCAGTGACTGGTTCTGTTAGGCAACCTTTGTGCTACTGTAATGAGGTGGGTAATTGTCTGTCTTTTTTCTTCTTAACTCCTAGTGCCTGAAACAGTACATGCAGCTGGCAATCCGAGAAGGATGTGGGTCTCCCATCACTTGCCCAGACATGGTGTGCCTAAACCATGGGACCCTGCAGGAAGCTGAGGTATGTAGGGATACCATATCTTCCCTTCTTTGTTAATGATATTATTAACATTTATTAGGATCTTGACTCTTTATGTACCTCCATACCAGGGAGTCTTGCAACGAAATGCAGATTACCTTTATAAAGGCGTGCTTTATTGCTATAAATACCTTTATGTTCTTTCCATAAACTGTTAAAGCTGTCATTTGCCTCAGTTCTATTTATGGATCTTCACTGTTGAAGCAGCTCTGTAACAGGCAAAGGTGCTAGAGATCAACTTTATCAGTATGAGGTTTGGAGGCTAAGTAGTGAGTGGCTTTGTGATTTTTTTTTTATTACTTAAAGATAAATAGACCACAGATTAGCCACAGTTATTGAAAATATAAATTGTGATTTTATAGTGATAGGCTGAATGGAACCATTTCCAAGCATCAGAGGCCTTCTGTTGATCTGTATTAGGCAACTTTCTTTTTTGAGTGAGTTCTCCCATTTTCTTAAGACTGTGATTTAACACTTTCTTTTGTTTGTTCAATCCCTGGTCATCAACTTATCCTTAAAATCTGCCTTTTTATTTTAAAATCTTGTTCACTTTATATTATAATGATTTTTTATCCATTTTTAGGGATTTTGTGAGCCTCTGAAAGATGCCCCAAGAAACAAACGAAATAAGTTATTTATTCAGCAGACACAGAACACCTACTTTATAGCAGGTAGCCTTCTAGATGTGGTCATAGCTGGTCTGTTATGTAATTCTCTCAGCAAATCCCATGAAATTGGGTCTTACTTTCAGATAGGAAACCTGAGGCCCAGAGGATTGGAGTAACTTATCCCAAAGCATATAGCTAGAAAGTAGAAGAGATATAGTTCTAATCTAGTTCTTTCTAGCTTTCTTAACTATATGGCATTAAGAGTAGAACTAGGTAGGTAATTGTTAGCTCAACATATTGAGTGCATATAAGTATGTGAAGAAATTATTTATTATAAGTATTATTAATTATTTATGAATATAAATGCTTTTACATATATGTCTTTTGCTTTATAAGCAAAGTAGTCAGAAAACTGGCATAGATGATTTTTTTTTTTTTTTTGGAGACAGAGTCTCAAACTGTGGCCATGGGTAGAGTGCTGGGGTGTCACAGCTCACAGCAACTCAAACTCTTGGGCTTAAGCAATTCTCTTGCCTCAGCCTCCCAAGTAGCTGGGACTACAGGCACCCACCACAATGTCCGGCTATTTTTTTGTTGCAGTTGTCACTGTTGTTTTAGCAGGCCTGAGCCAGGTTCAAACCCGCTAGCCTCAGTGTAGGTGGCTGGCACCCTACTGACCGAGCTACAGTGCCATCTGGTATAGATGATTTCTAATCAATCTATATCTGGATACCCTGTGTTCAGTTTATGGAATGTCAGATGAATTGTACAAGTGACAGTGACCTTAGAAGGGTAGTTGTATGTTTAGGGAGGCATACAAGGAATAGTTAATGGTTTAGAAATGACTCATTTTAAGGAATTCATGAAATAATTTAATTTTTTGGTAGAAAGGTAATATTGAATATATAAATCCTATGGTGAGAACCTCTGTTTATGTTCGTGTGTGTAGGGTAAAAGGAAATTATGGCAGGAGAAAATTAGACTAGCTACTAAGAATACTGTTGATCTATGTCACTTAGAAATTGCTTCTCAAAGGAGCCTCAGTATTTGAAAGTGTCTGGTTATGCCTAATCTTTCCAGGACTGATGCTTCCTTTTTGACTTGCTCCTCTGGTGTCTGAACGATCACAAGGGTTAATAAGGAGTTCAGAGTATGCAGGACCAATCCAGGCCCACCAGTGCTGTCCTCGTAGAGCTTCTGATCAACAGATGAGTCAGATAACTATAAAAGTGAAATGTGAGGATTGGGACAGGCAGTAAGAGCTGTGTCTGGTGTGAATTCTTATAGAATTCATGTATGCAAAATCTATTAAACATAAATGAAATGGATAGTTTGGTGAAATTTCAAAACAAGCTTATGAAATTAATCGGAGTCCTATATTCTAGACTTGTACTGTCCAATTCAGGAACCACTAGCCACCTGTGGCTATTCAGATTAATTAAAATTAAATAAAATTAAAAATTCAGTTCTTTGGTTAGACTAGTCAGTAAAGGTTTTTAGGTGTTCCATAGCCACAGGTGGCAAATGATTACCAGATTCAACTGCACAGAGTAGAACATTTCCATCATTGCAGAAAGCTCAATTGCTTAGTTGCTGTTCTAGACTTTTCAGTAAATGGCGGCCATCAGCCATTGGCATTTTGGATATTGAATGTTAGGGCTAATATGTCTGGATGAGTGGGTTAAGACTGGCCAGAGTTCGTCTCATCCTTCTTTAGACTAGAGCTTGAATTTCCTGATTGCTTTTCTCTTTGTATTTTCCCTGTCACACTTTCCTGCTTATGGTTCTCTTTATTCAGTTTTATTCTAAAAGCAAATTTTATTTTAGGTCATATAGTAAAACCAAGCAAACCCCATAATGGCTCTTTAAAATCCTATGTACTCAATTTTGATATGAGGACAATTAATGACAAGGGGAGGGGGTGAGCAGAGAGAGGAAGAAGGAGGGAGGAATGGGGAAGGGATTAGCAGAGAGAGAGAAGGAGGGAGGGAGGTGGGGTCTTGGTGTGTGCCACACCTTTTGGGGGCAAGACACGATTGTAAGAGGGACTTTACCTAACAAATGCAATCAGTGAATCCTGGTTTCTTGTACCCTCAATGAATCCCCAACAATAAATTAAAAAAAAATTATAAAAGTCAATTGTGGTATATGTACACCCTGGAATACTATGCAGTTATAAAAAGATAGAGACTTCACATCTTTTACATTTACCTGGGTGGAGCTGGAACATATTCTTTTTAGTAAAGTATCTCAAGAATGGAAAAAAAAAGTATTCAATGTACTCAATACTACTATGAAATCAATATATAACCACCTACAGACTCATATGAATGGCAAAACATAACTATAGTCCAGAAAGTAGAAGGGAAGAGAAGAAAGAAGGGAAAGGAGAGTGGAGATGGGAGGAGGGAGGGCATTTGGGGGGGACCTTACCTAATGTGCATGATGCAATGGTACATTTCAAAACTATTAAGAAAAGAGTATAATTGTCTTAACCACAACAAATAAGTAAGTGAGGTGATGGATGTGTTAATCAGTTTGATGTAGGCATTTCACATTGTATATCAAATCAGTACACTGAACTCCATAAATGCATCAATGTACACATGATTATGATTTAATTTAAAAAAATTTAAAAAATTAAAAATTTATAAAAGTCTATTTTGGGGGAAAAATCATATTCCAAACTCAGCTGTGGTATTTCTTAAATTTTCTAAAGTCTTTTTCTTATTAAATGAGTGGAAGATATTTTAGGGCAGGGGTCCTCAAACTTTTTAAACAGAGGGCCAGTTCACTGTCCCTCAGACTTTTGGAGGGCTAGACTGCGGGTCCCAGGATGAGTTGGCTGCTAAGCAGGACAGGCAGGGGCGGCAAAAACACCCGGCGGGCTGGATAAACATCCTCGTTAGGCTGCATGTGGCCCGCAGGGCCGTAGTTTGAGGACACCTGTTTTAGGGCATTAAGGGTCACTCCTGCTCATTGTTCTTGCTGAGAGCTTGACCAAAGGTAGGCATAAATATGCAGTAATCAAATGTCCTTAAGTAACTTGCTTCTATTTTTTTAGAGTGGTAAAAAACATGGTGGTGGTGATTGTTTCTCATTTTGAATTGAGAACTGAATAGAAGTTTATATTGGAGATACAGGTAACTTCATCAGTTTACATCAGTGGTTCTCAACCTTTCTCATGCCACAGCCCTTTAATACAGTTCCTGTATTAAACCACAGGTTGAGAACCGCTGGTTTACATGGAACTCTTTCTTTGAAAGGAAACACCACACACACATGAAGTTAAGCTGTACCACCTTCCTTTCTAACTTGCTTTTCATCAGGATTCCATCATATACAGTTATGATTTTTTCCTTGATATATCTCATAATCTACTTATTATTGAGCATATTACAATGGAGCTCATTCTTGTGCTTGGTGCTTAACTGGATTCTATAGGATTCTGTCTCCCTGACCACTACTACTTTCAATCTTTTAAGAAGTGTTGAATTGGACAGTACCTGTGGCTCAAAGGAGTAGGGCGCCAGCCTCATATGCTGGAGGTGGCAGGTTCAAACCCAGCCCCGGCCAAAAACTGCAAAAAAAAAAAAAAAAAAAGTGTTGAATTACACAGATAACACATAAATATCCTTTGCTTCTTAAAAATAGTACTGGTTAGTGCTGGTTCCTTTTGTCCTGCCGGTATTTATGTTACAACATATGATTCTTTATCATTCCATGCCTTACAAGATGTGGTTAAGTCTAGCGTGTTTCCATCTTCAGAGGGCACTAGCAATTTCAGCTCTTGCCTTGACCATATAGCTCTGGCTTACATAGTTGGCTATGTGCCATGCGCCTGTCTTCTTGATACCTCCAAATTGGCTCAGCTGTGACCTTGCCACTTAACTTTTCTCTAGTAGAAATAGCCTCATTAGTGAAGCATTTAATGCCTAGTTCAAGTCCTTGGTTTCTATGGATTGTACATCCATGGTTTAATCAGCTACAGATCAAAAATATTCAGAAGAAAAATTGTGTTGGTACTGAACATGTACAGGCTTTTCCCCTTGTCATTATTCCCTGAACAATATGGTATAACAGCTATTTATTTTTCTTTTTTGAGACAGTCTCACTGTGTCACCCTCAGTAGAGTGCTGTGGTATCACAGCTCACAGAAACCTCAAACTCTTGGGCTTAAGGGATTCTCTTGCCTTAGCCTCCCAAGTATCTGGGACTACAGGCACCTGCCACAATGCCTGCCTATGTTTTTCTTGCAGTTGTCATTGCTGTTTAGTTGGCTCAGGCCGGGTTTGAACCTGCCAGCCTGGGTGTCTGTGGCCGGTGCCCTACCCACTGAGTTACAGGTGCTGTCCCAGTATAACAACTATTTAC